GTGTCTCTTGCCCTTTCTGAACCCATCGCTTGTCTCGATTGTGCTGGACCAGATAGACCCATTTCTCGTCCGATGTCACAATGCGCTTCCAAAAACGCTCGTCCAATGGATTGCTGAGCAATTGTCGGCAAATTTCAACTCGTCTGTTGGCTTGGGTTTCGGTGAGTTCGCGCGGGTCTTGGCGCGGCATTTTGTGAACAAAATCAAGTTGCTTCAAGAGTCGGTGAATTTTCGATTTGCCAACTCCAAGCTCATCAACCAATTCTCGAGTGCTCGATGAAGGCGCAATGTCCAACCCGGTTTGCAAGTCTCCATCATCCAACTTTAACGGCCGTCCCGAACGAGGCTTATCTTCAAGACTCATGTCGCCAGAATCGAAACGTTTATACCACTTTGAGATCGCCGCCTATGCAATTGTTCCTTCACCTTCGGCAGCACAAATCTCTTCTGCAGCTTTTATGGTTGAAAGACCTCGCTTCCAGCAGTAACGAATCAAAATTCGCAGCTCAATTTTATTAATTGCCATCTGGAATACAAAGATGAAGATCACTATAGCAATATAAACGCAAAAAACAACTAAATAAAAATTTTAATGAAATAAAATTTTTTCAAAATTATCAAAATTAACAATAAAGTAAAAAAACAATTAAAAATTGCATAAAAATTCAGTTTTTCGCAAGTGTTTACGAACTTTTGGGACAACCTAATATTTTGGAAACAATGATGACATCATATGTGCTGTGGAGGGTTTTTTTTTGTAGGACCAGGATGTCACCTTCTTTCCTGATAGGAGGGCAATGGTTAAGCATCATTGAACCCAGTGCATTAATATCAACGGGGGACTATATTGAAAAATAGGTAAAAACTGTCTTGTTTCTCCTACAACTTCTGGGTTAAGCTCAGAAAATTTTCAGCGACACACGTATTAACATAACCATTTAAATGTGGGACTCAAACACGCACACAGACACACAGAGACACACACAGAGACACACATATGGCCACGTGCCACTACTATTTCCCTGGAACTCCTTGGTAAGATCCAATTGTTCTAGATTACACATTATTTCTCATTTAATTGCCCCTATTTTCGTTTGGCCTTTTCTCTTTCTTTCTTTCTTTCTTTCTTTCTTTCTTTCTTTCTTTTCCTCTCAACCTTTTTCCTTGTCTCTGTCCTCCTCTCTCTCATCTTTTCATGTATACATAAATTTAGTAAATGCAAAACAGATGACAAATTTTCATATATACATCGACATTGTGAATTAGCTAGACGGTAAATATGGAATGTCTAATGATTTTCCTTTTCACTTATTCATTGTACCCAATGTTACCACAAATCTATCCATACTTTCCCGGTTTTTTTTTTAGGTAAACGAATCGGAAGTCGATTTATGCAACTGACTTTAACTCGTATTTATTGAATCTCGCTCCTGAAAACGGTTACTTAACTTCTCTCTTTAAAATTTTATTCCTCACCTTCACTTTAGGCCCTTTCCTGTTCTGCATCTTTCTTTACACCTCTCTTTAGATCTTTCATACATTTCCCTCTCACCCTTGTCTCTCAGTCCCACATATACACTATCACTGAAATTTTGTTTTTTTTTCAACACGAAGTTATATTTTTTGTTTTCTTTTTGAATTTGTAGATCTGATGAATTGGGTCGTTATTATGATTCCAATGTAATAAATTATAACCATGAAATATTATAGTTTGAGACACTTATATATATATATATATATATATATATATATATATATATATATATATATATATATATTATAATATAATATAATATAAAATGCTCAGACACTAATATTCCGTGGTTATAATTATATTCTTACTCTGTCCTGGACATTGAGTTCTTCCTGGATTCTATCCTCATGGAAATTTTTGTATATATATATATATATATATATATATATATATATATATATATATATATATATATATAATGGACTCTCCTGTCGGTTTTTGACAGCTTACTTGATTCAGTTATGAAAGTTTGTGCGATAATCTTAAGTGGCATTTAAGACCCGCTAGTGATTTACAAAGGAGGCCACATATAGCGCAAGTGTGAGGATTGTGAGATGAGATCAATGTTAGATTGGCTGACCTTTTAGATCTTTCTCCCGCTTCTTGAAGATGATTCAGACAAGCAGATTGAAAATTGCTGAGTCCACTAAAACACGTTGATCTCCATTCTACCCGCTCCAAGAAGGTTTTCATCATGGCTAGAGGTAAAGAACTGACAAGTTCGCAAGAAGAACTGATTGGTAAAGCCCGGAAAGATGGTAAAAGTTACAGGAAAATCTCAGACAACCTGAATATTCCATTTACTACCATTCGTTGTAATCATTGCAAGGTATAAAAAAACGCAAAGGTTTTGAAAACCGAAGAAGAACAGTTGCTCCAAGGAAGATTTCTTCAAGATCTTCGAGGAAATTAATGCGTCAAATGAAACAAAATCAAATGGTTATTCGTCAAGAGTTGCAGGATGATTTACTTTAATCCGGAATCCGTGTCATTAAACGGACAATAAGCCATGAAATTCATAGGAACAATTTAAAGTTACGCCCCCAACCCGGAAAACTCCACTGCTACTGAAAAGATACCAGGTTGAAATTCGTTCGTGAACATAAGGATAAGAAAAGATCATATTGGGAAAGTGTATTATGGAAAGACGGAACCAAAATTGAGTTGTTCTAGAAATCATGTATGGAGGAAAGATGGCGATGCCTTCAAACAAAAGAACACAATTCCAACAGTGAAATTTGGTGGTGGTAGCATCATGGTATAGGGATGTTTTTCTGCAAAAGTTCCTGGCAATATATCAGTAATAGATGGTAGAATTCCGCAGCATATCAAAATATTTTGGAAGCAAATTTAATGATTTCTTTATTTCTTGCCACGATGATAATTGGTTCTTCCAAGAAGATAATGATCCCGAGCTCACTGCAAAATCTACTAAGAAATAGCTTGATGAAAATAATGTAAATCTCATGAAATGGCCTATTCAGCCCGCAGATTGAAATCCAGTCGAAAATCTATGGCGTTATTTGAAAATTCAAATCCAATCGAGTGCTCCAGTAAGCATCCCAGATTTGAAGACCATATGCGAAGAAGAATAGAATAAAATAACAAGTAAAATTTGCTAATCATTAAGAGCTACAAGAAGAGGTTAGTTGCTATAGAAGTGAATAATGGCTATTCTACAAAGTATTAAATGAAGATGATGTATTCTTTTTTGTATTGTACGAATAATTTTTTCACCCATTAAAATGGATAAATGGGATTTATTTCTATTAAATCAAAATTCTTTGTTTTCTATGCATATTTAGTTATTATGTATCTGTGTATGTGTATTCATTAGATGGAAATACAAAAAAATGTGTGTGTGTACGAATATTTGTTTCTCCCCACTGTATCTACTACGCACTGGTTTTTAAAGAGGGGAAGCGTCCACTGGGCTTGTTAATCTTCGGTAGAAAACAGTCTAAGCAAGAGAAACTCCGAATTTCAAACCATGGAAAAGGCAACGGGTAAGCGTTATACTGTTTTCCCAAAGAATACATGGCAGCAGAAAAATAATAAAGAAAATTAGTGGAGAATGGCATAAAAAAAAGAAACATGGCATAAAAAATGCTAATTACTAAGGAATACCAGATACTAAAAGCGGACTGTGACCTTTTACCAGACTTAGTATATAAATGAAAAAAAGATCTGACTTCATCTGTTCATAACTAGCTAGCTAGCTCTGTGTGTTAATCTTTTTTTTTTTTTTTCATTTTGTCTCTGCCTGTCGCTTCTTTTCTTTTTTTCTGGGGTCGTATTTACTATCTTTCTTTTCTTTCTTCCGTTTCTATTTATTGGCCCACCCCCTATCGTCCTATTATTCTCTCTGTTTTATCTCATCTTTTATTTTTTGTCTTACACTTTCTCTTTTATTCATCTTTTTTTTAATTCTCATCTTTCTGCCTCTGCTTCCGTCTTTTATTCCGTCTCCTTGAGATTAAAAAAAAAGCCTTTCCTGTCTGATTATCATGTTTTGTGTCTGTGTGTGCAAATCACACTATTACAGCCACCCACGCCATTTGGTGCAGGCATTAAAAATGATGCTTTTTTTTCTGTATTCACCATTTCATGCCGGTTAGCAGAGGCTTGTATTATTGAAAACATGCATTCGTCCTTTCTATACATGTAGAAGAAAAAACAGACAACAGAAACAAAAGCTGTCTCGTCTTTTATACAAGTTAAAACAGAAACGGTTATTCTGTTCTTTTGTATACACATAATTTTTTTTTTTAAATACCGTCTTCTTCGGAACGTAAGCGACCACAGAATTCCTTTCTTTATTGTCTGGAAATTGTCATAATTTATAGGGGAAAATAATGGTTTTACTTTCTCTGCTGTTTTTTTAAAGCATGCCTCACTTTTTCGATCAGTCTAAACAATAATAATATATAAAAGTAGGTACCTCCATGAGATCGCTAAAAAAGAGCATAGCATGATGAAAAAGACGCTAAACTTGACGAAAACAAAAAATGGTTGACATGGTTGATTATCTGTCAATTTTGCTGACTCAAAAAAACAAAAAAACAAACAAGATTTTTAACGAAAATTTCGGACGTGCTAGGAACGATTAAAAAGTGTAAAAAAAATACCCCCAATATACTTTGATCTTTCTTAATAATAACATAAACATTTAGACGATAAAATTTTGTTTTCGTCAAGTTTGGCGTCTTTTTCATCATGCGATGCTCTTTTTTAGCGATCTCATGGAGTTACCTATATAAAAGGTGTATCAACTCTTTGAAGGTTAATTCAAACCAGAAAATATCTTTAGATTATAAGAATTTTTTAGTGATAATAATGCTTTACTGATACAAGTCATATTATTTAACCCATAGCTAGGGGAAGAGGTGAATTCATATCATTCCCAAGGGTATATACGCATAAGTGAATATATCGAACTCAATTACCAATTCATATCCATTATCCATTACACCACCTGGTATTCCCAAGCGGTCACCTATCTAGGTACTGACCAGGCTCAGCGTTGCTTAACTGATCGTACGGGAACCGGTGTTTAACTTGATATGGCTGTAAACCTAATGAAAAACAGAAATTCAATATAACCGTCTCGATTTTGTACGAACGCATACAGCCAACGCCTCGATCCCCAGCTAAAGCACTGTGTCTCGTACCTCCATGTAGGCGATGGCATTCACCCTGTGGCCCAGCAGGAAGACGTGGAGCGGCATGACCTGCACGCATCCAAGTTTACAGCACCTGTTATTAACCATATTTTTTCGAAGCACTTTATTAAGTTATTTAGATTGCTAATTACTAAGGAATACCAGATACTAAAAGCGGACTGTGACCTTTTACCAAACTTAGTATATAAATGAATAAAAGATCTGACTTCCTCTGTTAATAACTACATTATCCTCATCTACATTAACATATTCACGACTTTTAGACCTTTGTACGCTCCGGCCTTCTTCAGGGAATTGGAATTTCGAACTGAACCTTTTATTTCGTTCACCGTGGCAGATTGTTCTAGTTCCACGTAACATGACTCTTCCTGACGTCTCGCTTTCCAAGTTTTTGTTCATCACTACCCTAGCCAGGTATTGAACTCACAACTCTTTGGATCAAGTCATTAGATCCAACCAACGCTTTTTATCCACTGGGCCATGTTTCCTCAAATCCTCAAAAGGCATGGCACGCGGAACTAGAAAAATCTACTCCGGTGGACGAAATAAAAGGTTTTGTCCAAAATTCCAGTTACTTTAAAAATTCCGGAGCATACAACGGCCGAAACGTCGTGAATATGACAATAACGATGAGAAGAACAGTCCGAAAAATGTAAATACTGTAAATAGTTACATTATCTCATCTCCGAAATATAGAGATACTGAAGAAGGCCGCAACGTACAACTGTCGAAACGTCGTGAATATAACAATAACAATGAGAAGAACAGTCCGAAAAATGTAAATACTGTAAATAGTTACATTATCTCATCTCCGAAATATAGAGATACTGAAGAAGGCCGCAACGTACAACTGTCGAAACGTCGTGAATATAACAATAACAATGAGAAGAACAGTCCGAAAAATGTAAATACTGTAAATAGTTACATTATCTCATCTCCGAAATATAGAGATACTGAAGAAGGCCGCAACGTACAACTGTCGAAACGTCGAATATAACAATAACAATGAGAAGAACAGTCCGAAAAAATGTAAATACTGTAAATAGTTACATTATCTCATCTCCGAAATATAGAGAGATACTGAAGAAGGCCGCAACGTACAACTGCCGAAACGTCGTGAATATAACAATATCAATGTCCGAAAAATGTAAATAATGTAAATAGTTACTATACGTCGTCTCAGAAATGAAGACAGCTACTGAAGAAGACCGGAGCATACAACGGCCAAAACGTCGTGGATATGACAATAACGATGAGGAGAACAGCCCGAAAAATGTAAATACTGTAAATAGTTACAATACATCATCTCAGAAATATAGACAGATAGTCTTTATTAAGACTATCGACTTATCGGCACAGGCCGGTATTCGTAAATTTACACTATTTAAAAAGAGAAATGTCTACTCAAACACGAATATCCACTAAAAGCAACGTTTGAATTAACCAAAAATAATACCCTGTTATATATAAGTTCCATTAATGCTTTAGAAATTACCCTGATTACGTTTTAGATAAGAAAAGGAAGTCAGCAGTTCTTGGCATTGAGACGTGCCTTTCTTAAATATGATTAGACAGGCCAGAGGCATCGACTGGTTGAATTAGCGGGTGTCCTACTGGCCACCAAGTGCAGATCTGCGCTTCATAGTATATCATTGGTTGACCCCGAGTAGTGAATCCGTGATCAACACAACTGCGCTTAGAAAGTTACCGTGTGGGGAAAACAGATGGCAATCAGATATATAAGCGTACTCAGAAGCCACTGAAATCATAGAAAGTGGAGATCTCAATTTGTTCTGATGAAAGGCCTTGCTGTTGGACGTAGTTTATCGTCTTACCCAGGACGCGGATGTAGTTTAGCAACACACCCAGGACAGATTGCAAAAGTGGTATACTTAACAAAATTGAGAAAAAGAAACTAAATAAAATCGCCTAGACTATATAGCCAAAACATATATAAAAAAAAAACAACTTAAATTCAATATTTCAACCTCATCTCCTTCATGCGCATATGTAGTCGCATCAGCATAAACACCACTTTAGTCTGATGAAGTCCTAAAGAACGAAACTCGTCACTCGAAACGTTTTTCACTTTGTCAGAGATTTTCCTAAAATTGATTTACACACATATACACACACACACACACATAGGTAAATAGATAGATAGAGAGAGAGAGAGAGAGAGAGAGAGAGAGAGAGAGGCACGTGCTAATACCCTTGGGAAAGGTATGAATCCTCTTCCTCTCCCTCCAGCTATGGGTAAAATAGCAGGGCAGACTGGGTTCTGTAGCCTTGGATGGCAACTGGTCTAGGAGGAGGACAACTCTGAATTCAAAACCTGCGGAGGGTCGTTTGGGAACCTTGTGGCATTCGGTTCACAAGGTCTCTGTATTCGTCACTTCAATAAGTGTGAATGGTCCTGCACGAAACCTTCACCACTATAATCATATTTTATGTGCTGTTGTCGGCCTGTCAGTTTCCTAGGAACTGATCTGCTTCATCCTCATACGTCGAAATTGACGGAAGAGTCGACTATATATATATATATATATATATATATATATCGTTTGCCCACATATATATGTGTGTGTGTTTAAAATTTCAGATAGAATACATCTGTAAAAGGACATTATGGACAAAGACGAAAGGAAATTTATCATAGTCGTTGCTTGGTGAGGTACTTTATCAGGGCAAATGAAAATATTCTTATTTTGTAACAAGTATTCATAGACAAGATCAAAAATTTTGTTAGTTTTTCAAGATTATTAAATTTAACCCACGCTCATAAATATTTATCGTATCTGAAAAGTCTAGGTAAGTTATGGAGGACGCTAAGTGACATAATTTAATGTCTCATAAACGATGGCGAATAAAAGATGCTCTTAAAATTTTTATATAAATTATTATCTAAATTATATTAGTTTGGCATTTAACAGTTTTCTTTTAATATTTTGACATTTTTATAGTCATGTATATTGGCTTGGGAAAGCAGTAATCCTTTAAGAAAGGAACGGATTTTTCAAGTATCTCCATTCCAATTGTAATGACGAATGTATCAATCATCGTAAATATCAGTTCCTTAAATATATCATAACAGGCGATGAAAAGTGTGTTGCATACAACAATGTACAGAGTGATATAAAAGTCTTGTCATCCCTTACCAAAGAGAAATGAGAACAATAGAAAAAAAACAAAACAAGTAAAACAGTAATACATGTACTGGATCCAGTTTATTCACTTTCATTGACACTGACACACATCGAGAACGTCTGTAGGAGCTCGTGTCAGCCATATGAAAGGGGCGAAATACGTTATAAGTTTTTTTTTTCGAAATGTTACACTTTTATTAATGTTTTTCCAATTGCCATTTAATGTATAACTCTGTCTGGATCATTTACACAAATTCTTAACATATCACAGAAACACACACACATATATATATAGAAAAAGTTTCAAAATAAAATAAAATAATGTTTTCTTTATGAAAGTATTTATTTATATTTGATATTTCAGATCGACCTCGATCTTTTTTCTGAAGAAATATCGATGCTGATCTGAAATATCAAATATAAATAAATACTTTCATAAAAAACATTATCTTTTTAATTTGCAACTTTTTCTATATATACATATTAAGAAAGTATACGTGACTTCTCATTATGCTATATATATTTATATATATATATATATATATATATATGATGGTCTGAAAGTCCTGTCACCCCCTACCAAAAAGTAATGAGAACAATAGAAGAGCAAGTAATACACTCATACAAATAAGAACAATAGAATAACAAGTAATACAGTAATACAAAGCACATGTATGTACTGGATTCAGTTTATTGTCTTTCATTGACGCTGTGACACATCGAGAAGGTCTGTATAAACGCCATCATTTTCGTGGCACAAAATAATGCAGCCCCGTGTCCTGTGTGATATTTTATGAAGCTGTTCTTTGTTGATTGTTGTAAAGGCTCTTCAAATGGCTTCCTTCAACTGATGGTTATTCTGGTATCGTTCAAGTGAAACTCTCTCCTTGATAATGACCCCACAGAGCGTGGAATTGGAAAAAAATATATTATGTAGGGGTGACAAGACTTTCGGACATCCCTGTACAACGCACAAGGTAGAACAAACCTTCACAACCGACCCTAATAGTCGAGCCCCATGGAAGAAAGATAATGTTGTGCTTGAGGTGGGGGTCATCAAAGTATTATTCGTTTTGTGATTTTTTAAACGCAGTGAAATACAAAATGCACAATTATACGTCCAGCAGCTGCAACGTGACCATAAATATTTCGCCGAAAAACTCGTCAATAGGAAAAATATTGTCTGCCTTCATGACAACGCATGGTCACATAGGAAGGTGGGATGAAACACTACCGGAAAACACATTTTCTTTATTAACTTCTCTCTAATAGGACATGTCGAGTTTGGAACTGTGGTATTGCATTTAATTTGCAGGGTTGATATAAACACTTAGCAATACAAAGAGATTACAAAGGAATACGGCAAGAAATAAATTAATTAAGAAAACCAAAGGACCAGAGTACCACTTGACTTCCACCAGAGATGGAGACGGAAATTAGATATCACACCCACGGAATTATTTCTAAAATTTGTACAACTGGTGTTGTTCTAGCAGAGGACGATGCTACTGTTTTAGAATAATTCAACAGCGTAAATTCCATTAAGTCAATTCTTGTAGACGATACCAGTACAAATACTGATTGGTAAGAAGGGCCTCTTACAGCTCTGGAGAAAAAGAAATAAAAGAAAGTTTGGTTTGGTTTGTTTTGTTTTACGGCATATCAACCTCAATGGATTATTTAATGCCGACAACATTTTTAGGATAGATTCGTATGATTAGAGTATGTATTCTTTGGTTTAGA